TCCAACAACTGCTGTAATTTCTCTTCTCGTTCTTCTTGTTTCTTTTGCTGTTCTTGTATAGCTGCCATCAAATCTGCTAAGCTGTAGTTTGATTTTCCGCCTCTCGTTTCCATCTTCTTCTTCTTTTTTTTTATTTTCTGTCCCACTCTCTGACATCAATTTGTTACGTCTCCGTTCGTTAGTTAATTTTCCGTAACTTCATTCCGACGAAACTTTAGCGACACAAGTCCTTTCTTAAATAAAACTGGTTTATTCTTTCTGAATATAACTTTGCGATACACTTAATTTCAACAGTCGCGCTATAACAACGAACGTCTCACTTGCTCAGTTCAACAATACTCTCTGACTGCAGTTCAATTACTCATTACACTGTTACGTTGTGAACATCTTATATATACCAGACTACCCCCAATCTAGTAGTCTCTCGATAATTCACGAAGGTTCGAGAAGGAGTGGCGTGATACTAGTCACGTGACCTCGTTGACGCAACAATATAAATATAAAAACTCCTTTATACACATACCTGTTACTCTTTCACCAAATATTGTTAAAAACATGGTGAAGTTAATGGGTCCTGGAGCTTCTTTAATCATCCCTTCTAGATCCTCATCTTTAACTATCCTACCTATAAAAAGAAGAAATAATTCGTTTTTTAGCACTGGGCCTATCTTGATAAAACAGTATTTCAGCCAATTCAATATTCCTATGTTTGCTTACAGACACCATAAAAGGGTTTTTAAAGATATAAGTTAGTCTAAGCAAATAACTTCTCATTGTAATTTATGACCAAAACTTTGTTAATCCAAAATACTAATATTTATGGAAATAACCAAATACATATTTATATATGTACACAAGTTTCTAAGAATATTGTTATCCCCCAATAACTTTGAATTGTTTTAGTTGTAGTCTGATATACAATAAGTGGTCTCTTTAAGAATACTAGGATTAAATGTGCTTAGTATCACAAAGTAGAAACATTTATCCTTGTATAAAGTGTGAACTTAATATGATGTTTGATAAGCGTATGTTGAAAACTAAGAAAATGTGACTGGAATTATAGAACAAATTTTTATAATAACAAAACAAGAAAATAATTCACAGAAGAAGAGTCAGAAGCGTTTCTAGGCTATATGGTATCTACTTTTGAAAATGTTTCTAATTTTACATTGTCTTTATTGCATGCACCAAATTGTATATATGCATAAGTTAAGCATTACACATTCTTTAATAAAACAATTTTCCATAGGGTTACTATATGATTATAGATGTATTATTTGTAGAAAACCTGGCATGATCTAGTAAGTGGCAAGAATGGCTACTTGTCAGAAAGTCCAAGGTTTGAGCCCTCAGTGTACTACTTTACATGCTGTGCACTTTCAGCTGTTGGCACATTATAAAAGTGACAGTCAAACGTTACTACTTGGTTAAGAGTAACTCTGTAAGCAATGAGTGTAGTTCTAAATTATGACCAGGTATGCCTGAAGTGTAGCGTCTCTGACCCGATCAGTTAGTGGCTGTCACACAAGATGATGTTCAAGTTCGTCAAAAATACAGAATACCTAAATAATTTATATATGTCAGAAATATATCACATTTACTATTATTTATTGCTATATCAAACAAAATATAAGGGCACACTTTTGTCTGATCTAAATTAAGTTCATTTTTTTGCTGTTGTTACAGCATATCTTTAATGGGGTTATGTTGTTAAAAGTAAGCTGGAGTTATGTAAGTTGTTTTATTGTCTATTGTAAAATCTGAAAAACAATAATTGTATATTTCATGTATGTATAGCATAACTACAGTGGAAGAACTTTAAACTTCATATCTGTACAAAGTTTGCTATTTGTTATTGTTGGTGCTATATTAGCTAATAAGCATGATTTTAATATAGGATATGCTTAACAAGCATACAAAACAGGAAATGGAATGAATTATTCAGCAATTCCAATCTCACAGGCACTTCAATGAAAATTTGACACAGAAACCAAAAACATGGTAATATCAGTCATAGTGATGGTACCCCTTTCTATACAGGTGAAGAACATGACAAGGCCTGCATGTGTAGATATACTAACCAATGTGACCATGGTGACATACAGGAAAGGCTCAAGGCAAAGCATTCTCTATTTGAGCTACAACTACAAGTGAATATAGAAGCCATTTCAAGTTTGAACAAAATACATACTCAGAGTCATACATTTATCTAGAAATGGAATTCCAGGTCCACATGGTGTAAGAATATCAATCTATAAGAAGTTTACAGAAGCTAATCTGTTGAAGTTAGTATTATAGTATCACCATAGCTGAGCAAAAGTAGCATTCCTGAAATGTGGGCTTATGCCTTTATGAAATTCTTATTCAAATTAATGAAGGACCACTCTCATCTTAAAGGCCATTGAATCATTGTCCTTCAAAATGTCATTGGCAAGATCCCAGAGAAGGCTGTAGCTAGAAAACTTGCCTCAGATTGAACCACTATTACCCTCACAGTTGTGGTTATCTTAGTGGAAAAGAAACCTGGATCAATGCTGGTGATTTTACAAGTGATACATGGGAAGGCTTGAAAGCCAGTTAGAAGACCTTGGCAGTAACTTTAGCTCTGGAAAATGCTTACAAAGAAATCTGACCCTCATTCTAGCAGACAAAATGCTCATAACTGGCATCGGTATAACACATGTAAGATGGATTGTAGCTGCACTAAATACCAGAAGATGCATAATGAAGAATGGGAGCTGGCAATTAGGCTGTATCACTACGATTATTAGTCTGCTTTAGTGGAAAAAAATCATCACTCTTGTCAGCCCTTATCAACATTTACTACATGAATCTGGCCTACCATTACAGTAAAACCAGATGACATGGCTAACCTCTGCTGATAACATTCTGGCATAAAGTAAAGGTTATAGTAAAGCTGAAGTAGAAAGCAAAATGTAACCTTCCATTTGCAAGGTGAGCAAATGGCACAATGATAAATACTACCATGTACTGCACAATCAACGACAAACATAATGATGAGAACAAACTATATACATCCTTTGGGGGTACTGCTATCCCTCTGGAAGAAACAGTGAAGTATCTGAGGCTAAACTTTGACAGACAATTAAACTTCCCCAGTCACATTAACATTGTGATAACCAGAGCAACTAAAGAAATCAATACTCTGAAACTTGCAGCAGGAAATAAGAGTTGAAGTTCTCTACCAAAGCCTTATCTGCTCCATCCTGGATTATGGATATCAATGACCAGTATGAGTGTGATGCAGCTAGGTATGATTGAAAAAATAAAAAAATCTGTTTAAGAGTGGGTGGGCAGATGATATACAGCCACCACTTATATAATACCTGACAACCAGATCTCACATGCTTAATGCATAATAAACCTTTGACAATGCTGGAATCTGTAGAAATAAACCCGGACAGAAAATATAGAAATGGGGCAAAGGGTGAAGCAGAAGAAGTACACCAGCACCTGTTTAAAGGCCTCTCATCGTAACCACAGATGGTTCCTATACTACGTATAGTAAGAAAGCTGGCTGAAAAATCAATTTCTCATTGAGCAACATTTTGCATAAGGCTGGAGAAACAATCAAACTTCCCTTAAACAGCACAGAATGGAACTGCAAGTCATAATGCAAGCTCTTATCTGAATTGCAGAAAGTAATAAACCACAAATAGACAGTGCCACCAACATAATATTTGCAATTGACTCACAGGCAGTTTTGCTTAAAATTAATTGGGTGTTTGCAAGATGGATGGAAGAAAGCAAAGCAACTGCATGGTAAGACCATCACTTGAATATATGTGCCAGGCTATGCAGGGGTAAAGCTTACAAGAAAGCTGACAAGCCTGCAAGAGAAACCCCTTTATCAAATCCTACACAACTCTATTAGCAAAATATAAACACCCTCTGCACTGTTAAGGTTAAACCAGCAACCATGGAAGATGCTCATCAACATTCAGAAGGAGTAAGATTGTTGGAAAACAAAGTATTGTATGGTGTAGGTAGGAAAAGCAAAATATGGAAGATCACTATAACATTATCCAACCAGAAGCTACTCCTAATGTCAGTAAAGGTACTCTTCTATGTCCTGCAAACTAACCAGCCTCCTTATGAAAGATTAGTGCCTGGGATCGACACATAATACTCAACTACTCACCATTGTTTGTGATGCATAAATGCTTCCCATTTCACCTCTATAGACCTTAAAAAGTGCTTCTTGAATTTTACGTTTTCAACTTTTTCATTCTGCATTATTTTAAGCAGGTTGATCTCAAATATAATGACATAGTTTTGAAATTTTAAGCTTAAATTAGTGTTGTATTTGTGTATCCTTGGTAATAAATCACTAAGCAGGTATAAATGTCACATCTGATACATAAAAATAAACTTACTGTTGTGCATTGTTGGTACCACTTATCTGAAATTGTATAAGTTTGACATTCATGGCATAAACCAAGTTTGCCATTCCCTGATTATTGCCATAAAAAGTATAATTGAATAACTTGCATATGTTATATCTATACTAGACTTATTATCTTTCACTGTAGATGCCACATTAGTACAATTTTTATGTGCCAAACTTATATTAAGTTTACTAATAATTCAAATTCCTCTATACATAAAGCCTATGTAGACTTTACTACAAATTTTCCGAATTGAGTACTATGGGACAATCCCAGGGGCAGCACTAACAGGTGCTAACCCATCACTTGCAGAGCTGTCTCATAGGAGGTAAAAAGAGTTCCTATACTGAAGTTATGAGTAGCTTCTGATCATATTATAATGTTCTATTGATTTTCCATCTTCTGCTTTCTCAGCAGCACCATATGGTGCTTTATTTTCCAGCTGACTCATTCCCTTTGAATGTTGGTGGAGACCTTCCATGGTTGCCACTTTCACTTTTCTAGTGTAGGGAAGGTCACTATCCTACCAAGTAGAGTTGTACTGGACTTGATAAAGGGACTTTGCTTGCGAGCTTGTCAGCTAGATGATGGACAGAATTTCTATATTCTTGGCTGCTGTGTAGCTTTCACTACCAATTTTATCTATTCCTGGCTGCTGTGTAGCTTTTACTACCAATTTTATCTATTCCTGGCTGCTGTGTAGCTTTTACTACCAATTTTATCTATTCCTGGCTGCTGTGTAGCTTTCACTACCAATTTTATCTATTCCCGGTTGCTGTGTAGCTAATCCCCAATTATATACACAGTTGCTGTGTAGCCTGTATTCCTGAAGTTCTATATACATAGTGGCTATATAACTAACTACCGATTTTGTATATACATGGCGGCTGTGTAGCCTTTACTTCCAACTTCCTACATATACGACGGCCGTTTAGTCAACTACTGATTTTCTACATATATGGAGATCATGCAACCAATTACCAATTTTTAGATACACAGCAGCCATATAGCTTTTACTGCTGATTAGCTATGTACGCGGTGATCATGTAGCTTTTACCACTGACTTGCTATATACACAGTGGCCATGTATCCTTTACTGTTGATTTACCATGTACATAGAGGTCAAGCAGCCAACAACCAATTTTTTAGTAACACGGCAGCCATGTAGCTTTTACTGCTGATTAGCTATGTACGCAGTGATCATGTAGCCTTTACTACTGACTTGCTATATACACAGTGGCCATGTATCCTTTACTGTTGATTTACCATGTACATAGAGGTCAAGCCACCAACAACCAATTTTTAGATACACAGCAGCCATATAGCTTTTACTGCTGATTAGCTATGTACGCAGTGATCATGTAGCATTTACCACTGACTTGCTATATACACAGTGGCCATGTATCCTTTACTGTTGATTTACCATGTACATAGAGGTCAAGCAGCCAACAACCAATTTTTAGTAACACGGCAGTCATGTAGCTCAGTGCAGTTTTTCTATATACGTGGAGCCAACTATCGAGGTTTAGATATACGACGATCATGTTGCCTTTACTACCAATTTATAGACGGTAAATTTGTTTTGCGACTTTCATGTTTGTGTGTTGTTATGTCTTATGAATTCATCTTTGTAAAAATCTTTCAGTGATTCTATCTCTCCTTTGTTATGGTATATAGAGATTTGCAGATTTATTTAATTATTTTTTTGCTTTTATGGTTACATATTGTACAGGCCCAGCATGGCCAGGTGGTTAGGGCGCTCGACTCGCAATCTGAGGGTCGCGAGTTCAAATCCTCGTCCCACCAAATATACTCGCCCTTTCAGCCGTGGAGGCGTTATAATGTGACGGTCAGTCCCACTATTCGTTGGTAAAAAGAGTAGCCCAAGAGTTGGCGGTGGGCGATGATGACTAGCTGCCTTCCCCTAGTCTTTCACTGCTAAATTAGGGACGGCTAGCGCAGATAGCCCTCGTATAGCTTTGCGCGAAATTAAAAACAAAAAGAAACATACTGTACACAATTGGAGTCACCCACAGTTTTAATGAATTTTAGGCATAATTTATAAACACATACACACACAAAGAAAATGGCTATATAACATGATATGATATTAATTGGGATTATTAATTATTGGTTTCAAGTATCTGTTTCATCACATAAGTATTCATTTGATTTTTCAAAGCCTTATGAGCTTATAATCGTCAGAAATTCTGAATTACTAGGGGAAAATATTCAGTAAAAATATATAAAGTTTCAATGTGTAGGGATTCTACGAACCACAGATAAGCACAGAATGAACTATATACACTGAGTGGTCACAAGTAAATAGAGACCTGATTTTTCGTCATTTAACTGATTTATGCTAACTAATTTGTG